CACCGTGATATAACTGGGTGAATGCTCCTTGATGCCACTGGCTGCAGCTGCTTTGTACTAGATGATGGATTATTTGAGAATGTGGACTAAATTGCAGAGTTGGCTGTGAAATTAAACCCATACAGTAGATGTAATATTTCTGTGGCCGTGCGGCTAAACAAGCAGATCCATATTATGTGCAACAGAGATGATTGCACACATGCAGCCGTCAGCCTTTCTCCCCCTCGTCTGTCTCATCAGTGGAAAACAATCAGCATCACTGTTGATTAGTACGGTTATTGATTGGTCTGCTGCCAGATACATTGGCCCCTCCAATGGGTCGTTACCAGGGGACAGATGCAGCGCACGTTGACCTTGGGAGAGAAAGGGCACTGGACTGGATCTCTCACCCGCAGGAGCTCCAGTCTGCGAATAAGATTAGAGAGGGAATGAATGATACAGGGGCCCCCTTTTTCCTGATCCGCCCGTGCTGCTGTTGACAAGGATGCTCGGCGAGGACGTCTGGGTGGCAGATGCACGTTTTGTTTCACTTAGAGGGAGATTCACAGAGGTAGATTAGCAAGCATGTGGGTTACTCTAGCACATGAGCTCATAGCTGGTAAATCTATCAGCCGAAGCACGCATTGAGCTAATTGAGTTCCTGTCTTTGTCTGGGACGACGGAGAGGGCGTCCTACCCTATCGGCTGTGACCGGTCCTAGACACGCTGCGGTCTGTGGTGGATGGTTTCAGATTTTGTGATGAGCTTGTGTCCTTTTTGTCCTCCCACGGTTAAAATATGAGACAAAACAGATGAAATTAAAGGTCCTGTGTGAAACTTTTAGGAGGATCGATTGGTAGAAATGGAATATATTATTCATAGGTATGTTTTCTTTAGTGTATAATCACCTGAATATAGGAATCAATGTGTTTTTGTTACCTTAGAATGAGACGTTTTTATCTACAGGCACTGCAGGTTGCCTTTGATGGAGTCTGCCATGTTGAACTGCCATATTTCTTCCATTGTAGTTTCCCAGCTCATCAAATACAGACGCAAGCAGTGTTCAGTTAGTTACAATCTTAAACTTCACCTCTAGGTGACACTAAAATCCTGTATACTGGTCCTTTAAGTCGAGGAAACTGCAATAAGGCAACCGGTAAGAGTGGAGATGAGCAGAAGATAAAATGTATTACTCATTACTCTTTTGAAAAGTAATATTACTTTATTTATTACTCCTTGCTAAAGGTAATTTGTTACACTACTCGTTATATTACTTCTCTGCTTTCTCAAAATGCATGTGTGCTTCTCAAGCTAGCAGTTTTATTCTGCAGCATATGGATCCATAAAAGTTACAGAGTAGGTGGTAGAACACCTGGTTTAAACTGATGGTGAGACACAATTTTTTATACAACTTCTGTTATTAAGAGACATATATCTTGCAAATGTTTTACCAGGGGGTCTTCTGTGACCTGTAAGGATCTGTTTGAATCCAACATTTCATCCACCACATATCCATCCACAAGCTTCATTAGTTCTTTGTCACTACAGCTGAATAGAAGCGGTTCCATCTTCCAAGCTAGCTGCACAATTTAAAAAATTAAGCCAGGGATGTGATTGGATTGTTGGATTTTAAATTAGTAGATGGGTGACAACAAAGTAAGGTTGTAATTACTTTTTTTGGGGGGGGTAACTAATATTATTACTGAAATTTTATTAGTAATTTGTTGTTTTTTTGGGATTGTTGCAGTCGGAAATATCTGATTCCACGAATTAAGACTTTGTTTTTGCAATGAATTTGTAGAAGAAAATGAAAATTGCAAAGATAATAGCCGTTTTCTGTATAATTTGAGAATAAAATCACACTGTTGAAGTGTCCAAAGTAACCTTAAGAGGCTCAGGATCATGAGGGTAAATGTGAGACGTTTGTTGCCCATTGTCTGCTTCTTCGCAACTAGAAACAAGGACATGAGTTTGATGATGTATAGCTCAATGTAACGATTGGTAAAACCTGTGTAAAAGATTGGACAATATTGTCATCCCGCACAGAATTCATGGGCATTGGTTGAATTTGCGTCACAGCTTCCTGGAGGGACTGTGCTTTACTGTAGATGAGTGAGGGGGGTTTTCCATTGTTGTTCTTTTTTTTTCACCAGACAAGCAACGTATGAGTTCAATTTCACTATCCACTCAGCGGTACATGACATCTATTGTAAACACGGATTGCTACAAGAGTCCTCCTGTTCAAACACCGGCTTTGTTTGCAAAATTACTTACTCCAGCTTTTGAAGAAATGACAATGTATGTGGCGGCTCAGCATCAGTTTTATGGGTGTTTGAAGACTGTAAAAGGTTCTGCTTATGATGGTAATATTTACACACTTTGAGTTATGGGAGGTCAAGGTTGTTCCCGAAACAGCTTATTGTCCGTCTATATATCAAAATACAAAACATTTTTCAGAGTTCCCAAGGCTTGGAGCTGAAATAAAACCTGTACTGTGTCTTTTATTTTTTAAAATCATTATCCATGCAAGAGGTGAAATGTCATTTGTGTCTCCGTCATTCTTGTGCATCGTTTAGGGAACGTAATGAGTCATGCTTTTGGAAAATCATCATCATCATCATCATCATCATGGCTTCACAGACCAAAAGATGCCATTTGCTAAGAGAGGCCTGCTTGATCCATTCAATTAATTAGTTTTGATATAAACTGCTTGCTTTCTGTTGGCTTCAGTCCTGGAAAGAAATTGAATTTTGAATGATATAAACAAATTGTGTTGCATGGGGTCCAGCCGCTGTGGCCTCAAGCCAAGGCCAGCGTTCGTGAATACGTTCAGCTCCCCCACCGGTTAACACATTGGACCCTCTGATTTTTATTTGTAGAGCTGCTGTCATCTGCTGTGTTTGATTCATGACGGTGTCATGTGGAAGATCTCTGTAGATTTAATTAATTTATTTATCTAATAAAGAGCTGTAGAAAATAAGAATGTTTTCTAGCTTGTTAAAGACACAAATTAATCAGGGATCTTTAGCCTATTATCAAATTAGTGCAGGCATTAAGTCTAATAATGTATTATAAATGATTAAGCTGCACTCCTCTTAGTGTCTGTGTCAGTGAGATAATGGCTCCCCTCTAATGGCCATTTTAAGTACACAAATGGAGAAGCCACGTTGCCTACAAGAAATTCCTTTTACTTCCTGTATTTTTTCACATAAAACCACCAGACTCTGTTTTCTGCTCTTGTAACTCATATATGTTTTTAATGAAGTTACCTCCAGTTAATTCAGATTGCATGTGGTACATTTAAAGTGTTTTTATAACGTTTAACAGGTGCTACACAATGTTGTACTACTAAGGCCATCCATGTCATCCACTGAACTATTGTATTACATAAGAAAAGGTACCAAAACAAACAACCTCAGGTGTGTATAACAGTCTCAGTCCCTCCCCTGGGTGTGGCTATAACCACATGATGAGAACATAAAGCACATAGCCAGTAATATAAAATATCAGTAAATTTAATAGTAAAAACACGATAACAGCTTAGGTAAAAACAAACATAGTCATATAAACATGAATGTATATTATGTGATTCATATTTGTGTTATTGCAACCCATCAGGTTAATTAGTCTATTCTTGTTTTACAATGTGGCGGATGTTTGTCCTGTATTGATCTTTGTTTGGTTTGTGAAAATTGAATGAAATATTAAAAGCCAATAGATTAGACTGAGTAAACACAACATCCATTACTGCGATTCCTTTCGCATTAGTTTAATATTTAAAGAAACATACAATAGATGAACAAGCTGTTCCTGTTTTTATGAAAGATGAATGAATGAATGTGAATGTTTTTGCTATTTTATTTTGTCATATTGTTATTTACCCATTTTTTAAACATCACTAATCAATCGTTTTCCCGATTGTACTGTTTAAAACTTAGTAAAAAGTAAAAAAGATCCATTTATAAGAAAGAAAAATGTCCTTTTTGACAGCTAAAATTTTTTAAAAATGACCTAGTAAACCTCGGCCAAGTACCTTTTTTCAAGCATGAGCATGAATGGATGTAATTTGGCTGATAGATTGAGGAAATGGAAAATCATCCCCCGAATCTGAGTCATGGAACTGACTCCCATCATCCCAGCAGGATTAACAAACAAGTGGCCTGCTGTTTGTTTTTGTCCCTGGAACACGTTTAATAAAAAGGGCTGCAGCCTCTCTGAGTGCATCTCCATCCTTCAGGAAGGGCGGCCACATTTTATCCATCAGCTCGCCCTCCTGTCATCCAACCCCCGCTAAATTAAATCAATGTCTGAAACCAGAGCCGAGGCCTCAACTGTACCAACAGAAATAGAAAATCTAGTTTTGCTGTCTGCTAATGACATTAGTGCGTTCCCTAAATGGTCGCCTACCGTTGTCAAAGAGGAACATAACAGGGATATAATTACAGGAGGAACACTCACATCTCCATTTTCCTGTAAAACACACAGCCCACCATAGCTCTTTATGGATTACCCCAGCACACATGTACACACACACACACACACACACATATACATACACACTCCCCTCTGGCAGGTAATGATTCATTTCTCTACCATATCATGTTATCCCCTGTAATTAAACTTCTCAAGGTGAATACAAGGAGAATCCGAAACCACACGTTATTGACCGTATGAGAAATTCATTAAAAGAGCTGCCTAAGTGTCATTTGAGCCCTCCTTTCAATTTCCGCTAACAGGAGAGAGATGAAAGACGCGTCAGAGGAGGAGAGAAAACCTGAACCTGTCATATTCCATGTATGTGTTAATTTCCATTCAGCGCCCAGACAGCATTGTCAGTGGGTATTGTCCCCACGGTTAAATATCCAGAATGAGATGTCTGATAACTGCTCTGCAATAAGAGAGGGTCTCATCAGCACTGTCAGGCCTTACGATGATTTACTTAAAGAGAATAAAACTAAATGCCCCCTGTGACTCACTTGGCTACATGTTTTTTAACATCTGGTTATATTTTCTTTCTGCAGGATCGAGAGGGCTGTACTTCCCTCAGAAGGAGTACATTGAGACGGTGTATGTCGGCCAGCCGGCGGGGACGCCGCTCCTCCAGGTCCACGCCATGCTGGACAGCAACTCTGAGCGGCCGCACTTCTACCTGTGCTGGATGAGCTCCATCAGACGCTCCTACAGCTCCTGGTTCAACCTGGACGTCCACACTGGAATTCTGTCCCTGAACAAAACCCTGGAGGAGAGTGACTTTGCCTTGTTAAGTGAGTTGGATAGAAGCATTTTGATGCTATAGTGCTGTTTCAGTGCCAGGTAACCCCTCTACACATGAGAGTAAATTAGTTTCTTGAGGTTTATGCTCTTTGCATACTAATAAGGTTTCTGCCTTCAGGATGATAATGTAATTGCACACAAAAAGAGCGCAGTCATCAAAAACAGCACTGTGTGAGATTAAAAAGCCTTTTGTTTCTGTGTGTCTCATCAGGTCAAAAGTCGTGGTCTGTGAAGAAGTTGTTCCTGCAGGTCATAGTGTTACCAAACCTCCCAAAGAAGTCCCAGTGCATCAACAGAAACTCCCATCGCATCACCCTGGACTTCGTCAACGCCACGCTGCCTCAGTGCGCTCAGACAGATATGAAGGAGCTGTGCTTCCCGCACAGAGATACCTCCAACCCGCACATCATGGAGAACAGGTTCCCCGGGGCCCTTCGGCAAATGCGACGTCTCACCAGACTCAACGTCTGCCCCAACTACACCATTTCTTACAACGTTGAATTAGGTTAGACCGGTGGTTTCCTTTTCTACCATTGAGTAAACTGACAACCTCTTATTAAGAATACAGATTATAACAATTTATAAACTGTACAATGAACAGAAATAGTGTTCGAATAGTTCAAAGTTTATATCTTTTTTTATATCTGTTTTATTCTCAGAACTTGCTGAGTTATCCATTCCATTATGTCATATGTTACAGTCTTTAATTCTCACACACCATCTCTGTATTGAATTCACACACAGCTGATTTGTTGTTGTTCCTCCTGTCTACAGATACTCCAGCACCGTTTGCTGTAAATGAGAACACCACAGAGCTGGTGGTGACCGCTCCGTTGGACCGCGAGGAGAGCGAGCGTTACAGACTCCTGCTGGTGTGCACAGTCCGGACGGAAACGCTCGTCACTAAGGTGGAAACCTCGCTGGACGTTTTTGTGGACGATGAGGACGATAATGCGCCATACCTGAATGGAACAGACACAGCAGATATTATCATCAGCTTCAATCGGACGAAGGTGAGAAAGATTAACACTGATTTCATTGTTTTAGACTCAGTGTTTGAGTTGAGTTTCACATTCTTGTATTTTGTTTCCAGGGTGGGTCCTTTGGCACGTTGTTCGTCTTTGACAGGGATTTAACGCCCATCTATCCCATAGACCAGAGTCACAATAAGTATGTGGGGACCTTGCTCAATAGTGACCCGTGGATAAAGGAGACATTTTACATAAAAGACACCTTCAGTGAAAAGAAAGCTGCTCAGGGAGGCATTCGAGAGACCGTCCACGACTACCGTAAGTAAAGAAGCAGCTGCTGAGATTCATCTGTTGTCATTAATGTTGTAGTGTCTAAGCTACATTCTCGTGTTTCTCTCTTGCTTTTAGAGCTCGTCCTAAAGAGGAACCTGTATGTGACAGAGAATCGCACCCTGCAGCTGGACTACCGGGTCAATGACACCACCTATCCTGGTCTAGAGGGGACAGTGTTGCTGCACTTTAACGTCACCATCTTACCGGTCCACATCCGCTTCTCCAACATCACGCATATGTTCACACTGACCCGCAGAGCGTCTGTTTATGCACAGGTACTCATGAATACGTACAAAACTCAATCATAAACTTATTCATGTGTACGTTGAAAGAGTTATTGGTTGCTGTAATTGTTCCTGGCCACGAAGTCCCTCCTGAACGTGATTGTATTTAAAGTTATCTGCATAAAAACTCACTAAAACATCTGCACACATTTCTCTATAGTAAAACATTTATTATAGAAACTGTTTGTCACAAAGACCATCAGAGCACAAGACATCACAAATACACACAACAACATATTTTTCTCCCTTTGACGTCCCTGAGAGTCCAAGCTATGGATCAAAAAACATCCCCTTTGGCAATGTTTTTTATCAATATTGCCCCCTCGAGGGAGGTCAATAGTTTCAATACAACAGGCTTCTGGTAGGTTTGCCAACATAGATTTTGTCACAAGGGCATTTTTAGATGTAAATGACATTCTTGGTGTAGCAGGAGAGAAACGCTGGTTAGAAAACTATGTTTTAATCGAATTGTTGGGTACGAATGTCACAGGAGACAAAACTATCTTGTAGACCGGGAACATCTGTCTGGGGCTGGGAGCAACATTAGCTCATGCCAGCTTGTTTCTGAGGTTGGGTCCAAATAAAAAATCAGGAGTGTAACTGGTGCAAAATCCACAGTTCAGGCAAAGCTGATATGAAGCTACAGCACTCACACAAATCTTAATCTTCCAAAGTTACAGTCTCTTAAATTCCTTCTTTGTGTTTCAGCTGTGTTTTCTTGCTGAGCTGTGGTGGCGAGATAGTGAGGCAAAGAGAACATTTCACACCAAAAACTGTAGATGCTTGATTCAATATGATGCTATAACTCTAGAAAATACCTGTTTGATTTGCCGAATTCTGCACAGGGGCCTTAAACAGACTTATTTACTGTCAAAATGATGTTTCTCATTGAATAACACTCAAGTAAAACATCACATGATCAAGAAAAGCTAATAAATAAAACAAATATTAATTCAGTTTTAGGCATTTAAGTACACACAGAAACTGCTCTGCTGGTTGAGCCACACTTGTAGGCATCAGATCAGCATTTCTGAAGATGTTAAAGACCTCAGGCTAAAACAAAGCAATGTTGAAAAGTCAACAGAGGATTTCTGATCATGTTAATAATTTCTGTTGAATACATCCAGTCCAGTACCTGCCTGTATATTACAGTGTAATGTGCTGACTGTATGCCCCAAAAAGAGGATAAGATTTAATTCTGAAATGCTATACAGTGTTCATTTTATTTACTATATAGAAACCATAGTGCTGACTCACTCTGAAACACACAGAGAGACTGCCACCTGCTGGCTGAGTAACAAAAAACAACAACTATAAATTATTAATCAGTATCTCTGTAATACCATGTCCCATCTCCTCTCAGGTTGGAAGAGTCTGTGTGGAAAACTGCCAGCAGTTTGATGGCTTCAGTGTCACATACCGGCTCGAGGTGCCAGATAAGAACGTGTCCGCTGACGTGCAGTCCTGCTACGCAGCCGTAGGCATCACGCAGGCCCCAGACGAGATGTGGGGACTGCTCTATGTGAACGACACGGAGGCGCTGCGCAGGCCCGAGTGCCAGGACCTACAGTACCTTGTTGTAGCTCAGGAGGAGCAAACGCAGCTGGAGGCCAGCACGCAGATCCACATCATACTAGACAGTCAAGGTGAGCTTGTCGGCCGAGGTTTTACGTTCTCATGTTTAAAGGCAAAAGATCTCACAGTAATTCAACAGCATCGTAGGCACACATGTGTAGACTTCATTTCTCCCAAATGTCTTTTAAAGGTTTGGTTGTGTGGGTTTTTGGCTTTTTTACATAGCAAACAAGGCCAGTCAGGAGAACCAGCAGTTCCTGTCCTGTGCAGAAAACAGACAGCGAGCAGCCTGTGAGTCTGTGCGAGGGCTCGGGGCAACAACAGGGAGATGCCAGTGGAGGCAAGGCAGTGAGAAAGGTACATTATCTTTAACGAACACTTGCAATAAGCTGTGATTTTTGTAATAATATGGCATTTTGACATCACTTAACCGTGCTGTAGTAATTATGAGACCTTAGAGTAATTTAACAAGAACCAAATGACGCCAAATGTTTCCCTCAGTGGTGGTACTGGAACTGATTAAAGGACCAGAACTAGCATGTGTACCCTTCTCAGTAACATCCTAGTTGGAAGTCACAAAGAATGTGGTCTTAATTTGGATAAATACAAACACTAACAACACCATATGATGGCTAAAGACCACAGTTTTTTCATTTTATTTAATTTAAGGCTAACATCAAGACAAGCTAACCAAACTTAATAACTTAATGTCTCTCCTTTGTGTTTACGTTCCAGGGATATCTGAAAATTACTCGACCTGCTCCCCTGACTTGCGGACGTGTCCAGATAGCTTTTGTGATGCAGTTGAAAGCAAAGATATGTCAATATGCCCTCAAGACTGTACAAGTGAGAGACACTGATGGATTTCTGTACAAATTTAAAGATTTTGCATCACGTATAAATGTGTTAATAAGACTGACTTTTGCATTCACTGTGTTCGCTCTGTCTCTGAAGAGGAAGCTGTTACCGGAGGTCACGAACGAGGCCTGAGGAACGGGATCCAGGCCGGCTATGGAACCTGCTATTGCTACTCTGAGAGATGCTTCTGTGAGAAGGAAGACATCGAGGGTGAGTTGTCGTAAATCAATCAAAGAAAGAACCCGAAATGGATCGCTGCTTTCTTGAAATATGACAGTATTGTGCAACATGCTCTCCTCCAGAGGCGATATGTGACGACATGTGTAAGAGCATCATTGCCACGGCTCTGCTCCTCTCCTTCATCGTCTCCATCCTCCTGTCTTCATACTTCATCCACCGGTACCACAAGAACTCGCCTAAGCCCCCGATCGCCTCTGCCGAGATGACTTTCCGCCGGCCAGCTCAGGCTTACCCCATCAGCTTCCCCGCTAACAACCTACGCCGAGGCTCGCAGGAATCCATTGAGACCGACACCTTTAAAATACCTGTAAGCTTTCAGCCTGTGACAGACTTCAGCATGATGTGTTTAACCGGTTAAGAAGTTAAAAAGAAATATTCATGTTTTTTTAACAGGAGGATCCTAAGTGGGAGTTTCCTCGTAAAAACCTTGTACTTGGCAAGACTTTGGGAGAAGGAGAGTTTGGGAAAGTTGTTAAGGCAACAGCTTTCAGGTTGAAAGGAAAAGCTGGTTACACCACTGTGGCTGTGAAAATGCTTAAAGGTAAGACAAGCCAGACAAGTTGGGCAAGTGACGGTGATATATGAGGAGTGAACGTCTGAAGAGATGAATGGTTTCATCATTATATAATCCCCTCTTTTCCTCCGACACAGAAAACGCTTCTCACAGCGAGCTGCGTGACCTGCTGTCAGAATTCACTTTACTGAAGCAAGTCAACCATCCGCACGTCATAAAGATGTATGGAGCTTGCAGCCAGGACGGTAAGACCTCAGCCCTCCTGCCATCCTCTCTCCAGGCATGTGTGTTGCACATGGACTCTTAAGTGCTGCGTTTCTCTATTTCTCTGAATAGGTCCATTGTATCTGATCGTGGAGTACGCCAAGTATGGGTCACTCCGCAACTTCCTGCGCGAGAGTCGGAAAGTTGGCCCGAGCTACATGGGCAGGGACGCCAACCGAAACTCCAGCTACCTGGAGAACCCGGACGACAGGGCACTCACCATGGGGGACCTGATCTCCTTTGCATGGCAGATCTCCAGAGGCATGCAATACTTGGCTGAAATGAAGGTATTTGACAAGTTTTGCATTACATTAAAGACATTTTAAGACATATATACAAAAAAATCCATAATACAACAACAATAATGTGTGTTAAATATGTTTTTTCTGCAAAACAAAGTATAATTTCCACATTAAAATCCTTAAAAAGGCATCAACTCCTCCTGAATGTGAAAACAAATGTCAAATGTCCATTTATTGAAGTTGAAATATCAGTTTAAATCAAACAAAGAGGATTTGTTGTGATAAAGCAGCTGAAATGTTTTAGTGACAGTTATATTTCAGTTAACGTGGAAGAGCGTGCGCACTGTAAGCAGTTGAAATGTAATTTAAACAAGCGTTTTGGTCTGACAGCTCGTTCACAGGGACCTCGCAGCACGAAATGTCCTCGTAGCTGAAGGACGAAAGATGAAAATCTCAGACTTTGGCCTTTCCAGAGACGTGTATGAAGAGGACTCGTATGTCAAGAGGAGCAAGGTAAAGAGAAAGAAAATGACTAATTTTGATGGATTTACAACAATGTCTTAATAGGAAATTAACTCTCTCTGTGTGTTTTCCAGGGTCGTATACCTGTTAAATGGATGGCAATAGAGTCGTTGTTTGATCACATTTACACAACACAAAGTGACGTGTGAGTACAATTATCAATTAAAGGGAATAGTTCATGTTGGGAAATATACTTATTCGTTTTCTTGCGGAGAGTTAGAGGAGAAGATTGATATCACTCAGATTCTGCTCAAGGTGGCAGAATCTGCTTACCAGCACCTCTAATGGTCACTTAATAACACATTATATCTTGTTTGTTGAGTCTGTACAAAATCTAAAGTAATTAACAGCTGAAAAATAAGAATGAGGTGTTTTAAAACTAATTAGTGGAGGGATTGTAAGAAGGTTGGAGATCACACACTTTGATCTTTTGAGATTGTCCACAATTGAAGTCATACTGAGAAAGTGATATTATATTATATTATATTATATTATATTATACTATATTATTGGTGGCAAAAAAGAGATTTAACTTTATCTTGGCTCAAACCGCCACAAAAGGGGATTTAATGGAAGAAAATCACAACAAAACTCAAAGTAAAGACATAATGTAATAAACTAATAGGCTCCTGTACTTGCCTACTTTGGACAAAGTGCTGACTATGTTATTTAGTATTTAATTTAAGTTTATTTATTTTAGCTTTTTGGAGACTCCTCTCTATGTGGATGCACATAATCTCATTATTGTTGATAATATTTGTTGTTTGTTTGCAGTGTTAATCTTCTCACTCCATCAGTTTTCATCAAGAAAGCAAATAAGGGGATTTCCAAACATATCAAACTCTTTTTTTTAAGGAATTACACAGATTATTATTCTGTCTTTACTGATCTCTTCTTACTGTATGAGCTCCTGTGTTTCCTTCCAGCTGGTCCTTTGGTGTGCTGTTGTGGGAGATTGTGACACTGGGAGGAAATCCATACCCAGGTATCGCCCCTGAACGCCTCTTTAACCTGCTGAAGACTGGATACCGGATGGAGAGACCAGAGAACTGCTCGGAGGAAATGTGAGCTCCTCTCTGTTAACTCCACTGTGTCTCCTCAGTGCAATAACTGCCCTCCACCACATTAAGGCGGTCAGTCATGGAAAATGACTGTTGGGGTGGATTAAATGATACTTATTTCACCCACTGTGAAACTCTTTTCCTCTGCAGGTACAACCTCATGCTTCGGTGCTGGAAACAAGAATCCGACAAGAGGCCGACGTTCTCAGACATCAGCAAAGAACTGGAAAAGATGATGGTGAAAAGTCGGGTATGGTGAAGCTATACAATGCATTACAATAAGTTATTCATATTCTTCCACAGGAAAGAAGTTAGGAGAAGCTATTAATCAGCCTCTTTCCGTGGATTACTGGCTCAATGTTGACAAAACTTCAGTGATGCATCATTGAGATCTGACAGAGAGATGTTAAAAGCTTTTTGCTTTCCACTCTTTCTGGATTTGCAGCTGGCCCCGAGTGAGCAGTATATTATTTCTGCTGGACAACATGTGCACTGCTTCACTGTGTGATCTGTCACTCTTCCCAAAAGCTTTAGATACCATAATTAGTGCTTGAAGAGGAATCCTAAAATGTGGCCTTGGGTAGCGTAATCACAGAGCATACCAGTCAGGCTCCTGCTGTTGAAGTGAGGCTAAATATAGAGCATTTAAGGACATGGGAACGCAGACATCCCATAATACAGCAGGCCGGTTCCTCGCTGGTATCAAAAAGAGGTAGAAAAGGGTCCGTTTATGTAATGAGTAGAAAGTATGAGCGTCGGTAGATGTCACTGGACTGCATGTTAAAGCTTTAAATGACCCAACCCTGGAAAAATTCTGTGAGAGCTCGAACCACATAAGTAGTTTTGGGCCCGAGCCCAATAAATAATATAAATATATATAATATAATCCAGTTTATTATCGAAATTCACTCATTAATTACAGTTGCATCCATTATTAATAAAATATCAAATAAATGTACATTTTTAAATGTTCACTCTTTGAAAGCATTTTTTTCACTAGAGGCTTCAATAATATATTGGCAGCTGTAAGATCCACTGTGGTTTCACTCGAGTGGAGTTTTAAAATCTTGCTAATAATCCCCATTTTTACTAAATGTTTAACTCTACTGATTTTTTTTTTCTGTAACTGTGATGCATTTTCTGCTCTCCTGCTACTTCCCAAGCCTTGCGTGTCTGATGTTTAACATAAGGACTCTCGTGCCTTAGCGTGCTGTGACTCCTCTCCTCAGTAATCAGCCTAATCACACCTTCATCTGCTCTTTCCAGGATTACCTAGACCTGGCGGCGTCCACGCCAGCCGATGCCCTGCTGTACGACGACGCCCTCTCTGAAGAGGACACACCACTAGTGGACTGTAATAACGCCCCTCTCCCTCGAACCCTCCCCTCCACATGGATTGAAAACAAGCTCTATGGTAGAATCTCCCATGCATTTACTAGATTTTAGAAACAGGACACACAACACAAGCTCTCTTTTTTGGCAAGTTGTGATTGGCTTTTTTTCCGTAGTCAAGTGTGTGTGACTGTGATCTAGGCATGCTCTTTTTTGCTGATTAATGCTGACATATCTCCCATTTCATCGTAAATGAGAGGCTCAGTGAAAAAAAAAGATCTTGTGTCTTGACTGTTTTTTATTTGGACCTGCTTCTAATGTACATCAATGCTGACCAAAAAGTGCTACATTTGTAAATATTCAATATATACCCTCCATTCTAATTTATTTGGCACCGCTCGTGCTTGTGCATTTTATTTGTACATAGTCCATTTTTTTCATCTCCATTGTCGTCATTTCCACCTCATTTGTTTGCATTGGAAGAAACAGTGTGTAACATTTGAAACAGGTCCTCGCTCAACCAATCACTTGCTGTTGTTTTTTAAAATTCCTGACTTTATAATGTATATTAAGCCATTAATCTATGATGATTTCACAATACTGAACAGAGAAACAGTAAGGCTTTTGAACACAACTCTCATGACATTGATTTAAAGTTAAAAACATATTGGATAGTTAAATCCAGGGGAATGTGAACAGTATAGCCTTGGTACATTACATAATAACACAATAAATAATAAATTATATGATATATTTCACTGTATGTACACTTCTGAGAGTCAAATCAGGACTTGTTTCATAGACAGGCACCACAGAGTTTTGCTTTGAGAGCCTTACTGTCTGCACGCTGTTTATCTTTCACTGAGTGCAGAAAAATGATATGTTCTCGTTTTTAGGCATGTCATACCCGAACTGGCCTGAGAAGAGCCCGGTACCGCTCAACAGACATGATGCCACTAATCCAGTCTTTACAAGATATGCCAATGATAGTGTTTATGCAAACTGGATGGCTTTGCCTTCACCCGCAAAAGCTGTGGACAAGCTTGATAGCTAAAGACAAACCGACCCTGTAGAAAAGATGACTAATTGGTAGATGTGTATATTTCTATACGACTGTACATATACAATCTGATGCTAAAGTTGGTTCCCTTTTATTTCTGTTGCACGGGTATTCAACGTTTAAAACTGGGGTCTTTAATGCTGCAAAAGCGGCTGAATCAATATAGACCAAGCTTCAGCTCTTCAGTATGTTAATTATTACCTCACGGGTCATGTTGGCCGAGTTGTACCACTGCATGACTATTGTACCAGATTGTATGCCAGTGTCAATGTCTTTTAAGTGCCTGTGCCGCTTCTACAATAGCCTCCAATTATTAATGTGCGACTGTGAAGATCTTGTTCCAGCCCAGGAATTAAAAGGGGACGTCTTTACCATCACCTGTTGTAGACAGCTGGGATTGAGAGGACAAAAGCAAAATGCTGAACTTGTTCAGTAAAGTGTAAAGTTTCTACTTTAGAGGATTGTGCTCCTCAGACCCATTTTGTGTTTCTCCCACAAGATGTTTCAAAACTGTTCTTGCCAAAGAGAAGTAACGCAGACATGTTCAGTGAACAGTTCTCTTGCTTTTGTTCTTGTTTTGTTTTGTTTTGTTTGTTTTTTTTACATGAAAAATAATATCAACTAGTGAGTGCTACTCCAGTGTAAGGACATGAGACTTAATGTAGATTGTGACCATGTCCCGTGTCAGACTACAGTTCACTTTTTGATTCACTGTAATGGCAATCTTTGTGGAAAAAGTATGATTATGTAAACTAATGAGTGTTATCATTGTTATGTTGTTATTATTTGATTATGTTCCAATTAATAATAAACATTAAAAATGTGCAGAATGTCCATTTACCTCATGTCTCTGAAAATTATATGTGATTTTACTTTTTACTTTCACATAAATTATACGTTTTTATAACTTTACAATCTAATATTGAGCCTCAGTTCACCTCCAGACATAAATTGTCTGTTATACATTTGAGAAATGTTTATTTTTAAATTATTATTATTACATATTTGCAGTAGTGGGAAGAATTTGTCCATAGAAGCCACCTAGTGTTGCAGAATAATTCTCTGTTATAGTGTGATTTTAATTTAAGCATAAAATGTAATAGCCTTTATTTTGTTGCTTCTGTCATAAACCTTTAAGTAAAGTTTTGAATAAAGATGTTTTAAGTATAGCTTAAGTTATTATAAGATGCCAGTAAAAACATTAAAACACACCCCTTCCTCCTTCATCTCTTCCATCATCAGGATTTTGACCATTCATGTGTCAGCAACAGGTCAAATTTAAAACTATCTCTTATTTCCACAGTTCTGTATCAGTTGATTGATTCTTTTATGACTGAAATACAATCACTATGTGTTTAAAGTATTGGTTAAAATATCTCTGTGACAGACTGGTGACCTGTCTACATAATGTGTGCTGGGATAGGCTCCAGACTCCTTAATGGGAATTTATGAAGGAAATGAATAAATGACTAAAAATAGAACCTCACGGGAACATTTCCTGATTTACTTTATGCGTCACAGTGATAACACATCATATTTTGTACAGTAAACAAGGGATCGGCCTCCAGTTAGAGCTGTAATTCAATTCAAAGTCACAAATAAGAGGTTATTTATTTTTACTGGTTTGGACAGAGAAATACCCCCACCAAAAAAAATGTAGTAGTAGCAATAAAAGAAAGAATAAAATATCTGGGGCCTTTACATTACATAGTAAAGTGTATTTTAAATAATTAAATGTATGTTTGTGTATGCTGATGCATTAATAAAAACATAATACTAATAATATTTATTAATAATACTTATTAATAATGATAGTTTATTATTAATAACAATCATGTTTATTAATAATACTAATCATGTTTATTATTATTAATATCACTGTTCATGATTAATATCAATAATATGTATTACTAATAATATGTTTATTATTAATAATACTAATAAACATTATTATTAGTAATAATAATAATGTTTAGTAATATTAATAATGATGTCTATTTTTTTTAATAATGTTTATTTTTTAAATAATAATAATAATGTTTATTAATATTAATACTATTAGTATTAATACGAATAAACATGATTATTAATAATATTAATATTAATAATAATGTTTATTAATAGTGAAATTATGTCGTTATTAGTATTAATTAAAATGTGTATCGTTATTATAAATAATACTAATAAATATTATTATTATTTCTAATATTAATTATTTCTAATATTAATAATAATGTTTATTAATAGTGAAATTAAGTCGTTATTATTATTATTATTATTATTATTATGAACACGGAGCTCCAGCGTGTTCGATGACGTCACTGGTCAGCCAGGCCCCCATTGGTCAGCCGTTGGCCGGAAGTAGACTCCTCACTCTGTTGTCTTTGCTCCGTGGCATTGAGCTACAGAGGCTTTCTGCTGCTGCCGCTGGATTTACATTAAAGCTGACGGCTGTACGCGCAGGCGGGAATGGACGAAGGCGGAATCAGGTGAGTACTTGGTTTTACACGGTAATAACAACTTAACAGGCGCTCTAATAGATATAAACTAGTCCCAAAGCGGAGTGAAGCTCCGTACGTCGCTAAGATAGCCACCGAACCGCGTCAATATCCGGTTCCGATCCTTCAAAGTAAGAGACGATTTTAATGCAACTTAACTTCAGTTAAAACTCTGTTTATACAAGATGAACTAGTTTCTAGTGTTTTTCTTCTACTCAAACCACAAAAGAGAAACAACCTAAGAGGCAGAACGTCATATTTTAAACCCACTTTGTCTTTGCTTAAATAGACTTTACCCTAAAATAACAATTATAACTGAATCCGCCCTGTTGATGTATGAATGAGTAGTCTTTATGAGGGTTTCCATGCATCCGGGAAAAGCTGGAAATTAAGAGACCAGTATTCCAGTCACTTGGAAAGTGATTAAAATGAGCAAATACACTGGAAATAATCTGTGTAGTCCAGGAAATGTTAGTGTTTTACATCAACCTGAGTGGGAATGTCGTTTGAAACTCGACTGTTTGCAGGGTGAACTGTAAAAAGTGGGTTTATTAAATAGGCATCGAGAGCTGGAAGCATAATACTCACACTGACCCTCACTCACCCCAAACCGCAGCCTATATGTATGAGGTTACTGTCTTCATAGCAAACCAGTGATATACTGAAGGGTTCAGCCTCGTGTTGCGTTCAGCCTTGTCCTTTCTGGCAGCTAGAAACATTTGACCTCAGGACTCATTCTGTAATGCGTTGTCTGTTAAAGTTACTAGCAGGAGTTTCTTTACATGTGGGGGTGTTACACACACACACACACACACACTGAGCTGTTTGCTGAGTGAGCAGATTTAAAAGCCGCAGAGCTTAACGCTGAATGTCACTGACACTACGAGTCAGAAATCCTCCTCAGTAGTTCAGGCTGTCCACGGATCATAAATAATCATATTAAGACAAAGAAGAGTCTGCTGCAGTTCTGTTTTAGAGGACATTCAGGCTTTTATCTGCAGCAGGATGTTTGAGACTTTTTCACCACCTTCCCAAAACTCACTTTGAGTCTTTATTTGTTCATGAGCCTCGTGCGTAAAGACATATTATAAATACTAAATAATGGACCCGGTTAACATAAAAGTCCACAGGTTACAGTTTGTTTCTCTCATTGAACTTTACACCGTCTCTGTTCACGTCAGACTTTTGCACCAACTTGCACATAAAGATCTTTATATGATTAGTTGTGATGTTGAAAATGTGTAAAAAGTCAAGTTTAGTATTTATTTTTACAAGTTAATGTGAAACTGCTCAGTTTCTGTACGGCGAGACGTGAAACTCTCATTTTCACGAGGGAAACCAAGTGCTGTGAACTTTAAGCAAGAAGAAGGAAGTGTTGTTTCTGCTCTTTTATTGTCAAAAAAAAGAGTTTGAGAATTACTGCTGTGTGTTTTTCGTCTGACACATTGGAGCGGTGGTTTCCAGCTCTGGCAGTTTGGACTCAGATCTCCTGCTGGTTTTCATTACAGTCGGCTTGAAACTGATTTACAACTGCGATGTGAAGAAAAACCACATTCATTTACTGAGCTGAGGGCTGGTTCGACTGTGTGACCTTCAAGGAAGCAGTTGTGTATGGTATGTGGTGGATAAGATGTTTGGAAGATTTACTGACCATTAGGAACACACAGATATATAAAAGACTGGTTTTGTATGGAAGATCATCAGAATATCTAGAATACTGTGGTTGGTAATGTATTACATCCCTTCTGGCATCTTCAGTGTGTTGCATAGCTGTTCAGAAGTGCTTTTATTTTGAAGAGGAAGCAGTGCAGCCAGGCGTTGATCCTGAGCAGCTTTCTGTGGATCTCGCCCACCAGCTTCCCTCTGTGCTGGTGTTTAGCTGAGAGCTAGCTGCCGACTGCTTCGCTCTCCAGGTGCAGCTCGTTTGTTCAGGTCCAACCTCTGACACGTGAAGTCCTCGTGGAGGTTGGCCGCGTTTTGAAGATGTTGTTGGAGGAGAATGTTTAATTCAGTGACTGAGTGAAGTGGTTACAGGCTGGTGGGTTGTTTGAATGGTAATACAAGGTGTTATTGTCTGATTGTGTGCTGCTGTTTTAATCTGAATCAGAGAATACAAATCTTTACAAATGTTTCTCTGTTTACTAAAATATCTTTTGTCTTATTATATTTCTGTGATTGCCTACAGGTGATCATCGCATGGAGTTACACGGGACAAATGTATGAAGGTTGGAGCCGAGCAACAAGACCTTCACAGTAAAATGCCATAAAGGTCCTTCTGGAGACGATGTGCAGACGCCTGCAGTGAGTAATGTGACCGCGAGGTAAAGGGAATGCAGACGTGCCAGCTGTAGCTTGTATGTGAGCGCGATGCCCAGGCGGGGGTTGCCGCTCCAGGGCCGGGTCCGCTGGCTCTTCCTGGGCCTCTTCCTGCTGCTGGTGCTGCTGCTGTTCGCCTACCTGCTGGAGTGCACC